GAGCAGTAGCCAGGCTTTTCTCTCTCTTGGCTGTAGGGGTTGATTGCCTGGATCATTGGGCTCTGTGAACCTGATTGTGAGGAAAAGTTTTTCTATGTTGCTGCCATTCTGGGACCTCATGTGGTCTCCATCACCATTCTAGGGTATGGTACTCTGTAGCTTTTTTCTCTGAGCAAATTTTTTCACCTTTGCAGTTTTGAGGCTGCAAAGGGTGGAGATTCCCTGCTTCCTCAGATGCCCCGTGGCCACCTTTTTTATCTCTCTGTTTCTTTTCAGGAATCAAAGTCTTAGCTCTGTCTTTACAGTCTATAGCTTTTCTAGAGTTTTCCTTCTGGCCAAACTCACAGCATTGTAAATTATCCTGCTGGGCTCTTTGTTCTTGATTTGCAACATATATCTGGCTAAAAGCCCCCAACAATAGCCATGCCACAGCCTCAACATTCAACTGCCTTGAAATTTCCTTTGCCAGATTAATCAGCCCATTACCTCTAATCTCAGTCTTAGGCAAAGTATCTGGGCACGTGCAAAATGCACACAAACTTTCTGCCAAGCCATAACACACATTGTGGGGGGCCCAACAACCAATGCAGTCCTTCTTCCCAGCAGAAACTTCCCGAGGCTGGTCTTTACCATCAGGCTTTCTATCAACCTTTTGAGCTCTGACCAGAATCTCCTCTATAGAACAGCCTAAAGTGCTCTAGCTCTGTTGCAATCCAGGCAACATGTCCAAAACTTTCCAGACTCTGCCCACAAGCCATTTCCAAAGCCTCTCAAAAAACATGGTCAGGTATAGTCATAGCAATGACCCCACTCTCAGTACCAAATTCTGTCTTAGTTACTTTACTCGTCCCTGAGACAAAATACCTGATGTCCAAAGTTGGAAAAAGAAAGGTTTATTTCTTACATTTTTTGGACATTTTAGTCTGTACTCAGTTGTCTCCAAGACAGGGTGACATAGTGGGACTACAGTTCATAGCATCTGAAAACAACACTGCAGAAAACAGCAAGAGCAAGAGACACACCTTCCTCCTGCCTTTACATTATATGCTGGCTCCACCCCTAGGTGGGTGTAACACTGACACCATCAACTGAAGCGCTAGACAATAAACTAATCACAAATGCACAACACAAGCCTAGGAGCCACCAACACAAACCATGACACTATGGTACTGGTTGTTCGTATTTCTGACTATATTATAAACCTTTGCACTGTGCATTTTGAATGGTTGAATTTCGTAGTATTTGAACTTTATCTTAATAAAGCTATTAAAAATAAGAGCATTGTTGAAAAATGGTTAAATAAATCAACATATAATTTTATTGTGTATAAAGTATGAAAGTGGTTAATAAATATAACCAGGAATGGGGGTGCACTCCTATGATCTCAGCACTGTGGCAAATTCAAACCTAACCCAGGGAAACTTAGCAGCTTAGTGAATTCTGTCTCAAAGTTTAAAAAGGAGAGGGTTGGGGTTGTAGCTCAGTGTGAACATCCTGTGTTTAGTCCCAGTCTCCTCCCACAAATGTAAAATTTGAGCCAGGCACGGTGGCACATGACTGTAAACCTAGCACCTGTCAGGCTAAGACAGGAGGTCATCCTGAGCAACTCAGTGAGACCCTATCTCAAGAAGCAGGCAGAAGAAAGAGAGAAAAGGAGGAGAGAAAAAAGGACAGGGAGAGAGAAAGGAAGGACAAAGAAGCAGAGAATGAAAAATAAAGAAACTTGTCACATATGATGTTAAGGGAAAACCTTAATTATGTTATACATTTATGTATGTGTATTGTATCTATAAATTTGCATATGCATGTCAGTGTGTAAATCCTGTAAGTCCTGGTTGTTTCCCTCTCTTAAGAACGCTTGGTCACTGTGTTGTGTAGCTGGTCACTATGATGCATATCATAAGATTCAACTGAGCCGAGCGTGGTGGCTTACACCTGTAATCCCAGCACTGGGGAGGCTGAAGCAGGAGGATTGTTGTGAGTTTGAGACCAGCCTGGGCTACAAAGTGAACTCAAGGTCAGCCTGAACTGCATAGCAAGACCCTGACAAAAAAGACAAAAAAAAGAACCAATCAAAGATAGCCAAGTATTTTTCCTCTGTACCACTGCCCCCAGCCCCATAATAACCTTCTCTGGGCCTTTGAGGCGTAGCATTTTGAGGGACAATTGATTCCCTGTCAGTGTCTGTCAGTGTAAAATAAATCTACCTCCAAATTCTGGGTGTGTTTCATTTTTTCTGCTTGCCATTGCATAAGAGTTAAGCGAATTAAAGTACAAACACATCAAGAGTAATTGCATGAAAAACTGTTCATTACTAGCTGTTCAAGACATTCAAAGAGAGCAACACTGAAGCTCCATCTCACTTCAGAAACAATGGCTATCACCGAGAAATCACAGCCAAGTGTGGTGGTGCCTGCCTGGAATCCCAGCCCTTGGGAGCTGTGGCAGCAGGATTATTGTGAGTTCAAGGTCAGCCTGGGCTACACAGTGAGTTTATTTCTAACCTAAACTATGTATTAAGACCCTGTCTCAAAAAAATTACTATTAAGAAATCAAGCACTATAAATGAGGTGAGGTTGTGGGGAGAAAAGACTGTTTCTCCATTGTTGACGGTGTAAAATGATACTACTACTATGAAAATCAATATGCAGATTTCCCAGTTTTTCTTCTCTTAGCTGTCTTCCCAAAAGAATTAGAGACTTCATGTTATAGTCACGCATACATATTCATGTTTGTAGAAGTGCGATTCATAATAGCTAAATCTTGGAAACATCCCATATGTACATCAGTGAATGAGTGGATAAGAAATATCTGATATTTAAACACAGTGGAATACTACCCTGCCGTAAAGATACAACTAAGTCATTTGTAAGACAACAGATGTAACAAATAGATGCATCTTGAGACCTTCATGTTAGGTAAAGAAACTCAGACACCCAAACTTAGGTATCATATAGTTTCTCTGAAAGGTATTGTAATCCGGTGTGGCCAATGTTTCTAAAAGTGTACGCTGGTTTAGTGCAATCGTCTTACGTGTTTCATGTGTCATTTGGCTTATTGGTCTGGTTTTCAATCTGTATATCTAATAATTAGCTTTAAAGATCTTATAAGTAAATGAATTTGAAGCTGCCAAAATAAAAGGCAGTAGAATTGGCCATGCGAGGATCTGGGGAACCAATCAAAAGTCAACTAGCCAGCCTTTTGTTAAGCCATGCAAGCCATGCAAGGTTCCATGGAGAGAAAAGTCAGATCAGACACCACCTGACTCTGCTCTCCTCACCTAAGCATCTGGATGGTTCTGAGCACAGGCTGAGCTGACAGCAACTAGGGCACATAAAGCAGTTAAATGCTTACACTGTTGGGTTGATTATACTGACCTGGAGCCAGCGGTCTGAGTATCTCTTGGGGGTTTTCCTTCTATCGTGTCTTTGAGATCAAATTGTTTTCACTGTTTTGCTTTGTTCTGTTTGTTTTTGCTCTATTCAATATTCTATTTTGATTGGTTGTATTGTGTTTTGGTTTTGGTTTTGATTTGGCTATACCTGATGCAATAGACAACTATTGTGAAGATAACAAGGTATACTATGGTACCTGTTACTGTTACCTGATATCCTGCTTTGAAGTTCTATATACCAATTTTGCTGCATTGTTTTAATTGGCTTTGTTCTGTCTTTTTTTTAAATTAGTACTGGGGATCGAACTCACAACGTGCTTGCAAGGCAGGCGCTTACGTCGCTGAGCTAAATCCCCAGCTCCTGTTCTATCTTGTTTTGTTGGATTATACTACCTTTGAAATAAAAAATAAAGAAGAACACAGTCAGATGTGAATAGAAAGGGCTGGGGATATAGCTCAGTGGCACAGTGCCTGCCTGGCAAGCTCAAGGGCCTGAGTTCGATTCCTGATACTGAAACAAAAAGATAATCTCTGTAGTACAAGCCAGTCATCCAAGAAAAGAAATACTCCCAGCTTTGTGAAGAAGAGTACATAAACTTAGAGCATGACCCATTATTTTCTCAATGCTTAGATAAATGAAAAAGAATTGAAATGATCCCACACATATTATCAGACCATAGTGCACTAAAACTGGAAATCAGTGGCAAAAGAAACCACAGAGCTTCCTAGACACATGGAAATTAAATAACACCCTCTTGAACAACCAGTAGGTCACAGAAGAAATGAGAGAAGAAATTAGTTTCTACAACCATTATTCTCTGAGATAAAACCAATGCTATTGATCAGTGAATTTAGAGAATAATTTATTACAAATTTATTAGTTACTGGAATAACTCACCAGTTTGAGCAAGAATATTACCAAGAATAATCAATCTGTTGTCCTAAAGAAAGGAAGTATGCCAAGCAGTTTTCATTTTATTTGGATCTAAGCATATATATAGTATATTTGCTTTTCAGCTCTTTCAATAAATCTATTGCAACCTCATTTGGAAAATTATTGATTTGCTTTGTTTTTATGCTAATGGGGATCAAGCCTAGAATCTGTTTCTACTGAGCTACATTCCTAGTCTTTTTGATTCTTTAGTTTGAGTTAGAATCGTGCTCTAGATCAGGCAGGACTTGTACTTGGTTTTAGGTTTTGGTTTTGATTTTTTGAGAGAGAGTTTTGCTGTGTGGTTCCGGCTGGTCTTGAACTTTCAGGGATCCTCCTGCATCAGTCTTCAAATGCTAGGATTACAGGCATGTGCCACCACACCCAGCCAGGATGTGAATTTGTGACCCTATTTCAGCCTATGGAATTCCAGGGATTACAGGCATATATCACTGTACCTTACTAAATTTTAATGTTTTATATGATTACATCTAAACCTCTTTGAAAAATAATTACAATCAGTTTCATGCCTGCAATCTGTATTTAAACTGTGGTTATTTGTTGTTTCTTAATCAACGCAACAAGTCATTAAATAATATGTGACTAAATTCTGGAAGCATAAGGAATTTTGCTGCTAGGAATCAAAATGTTATTGGTGCTATTGAACATACATACCAGTGTTTGCAATATGCAATATTCCAGCAATTACTTGTGGCACCATCTGGGAGGGGAAGTTCTCTGCCAGTTTATCGCTGTTGATTTTTCTCCAATTCATATTGACATAAGGATATTTAATTTTGCCTTCCAGCATACAAGTAAGTACAGAGCAGCCACTCCACAGAACCCTGGAGGTTTCTTTCCTTCCAAGACGTAAGAGTCTATCCATCCTCCAAAACGCTTTTGCAAAGGCCTTCTGTATATGCTCGTAATTACAACTGTTTGCGCTTGTGGTTGTCTTTGGAGAAGAGAAGAGGGCTTCTGTTGCTGTATAGTCCTCTCTAAAGATGCTATGAAAGGAATCAATTACTTGCTGCTGTTCTGGGGTCATTTGGTAAGACGGATCAAACTTAGATAGTTGGTGGAGAAGCAAAACTGGGAGTTCTGTAGACACCAAGTCCGCTGCTGGGAAACCTCGATGTCCATCAAACAAACCGAAAAAACACACATTGGGCTTGCTGCCAAAATTATTTATTATTGTGAATTTACTATTCGTGTCAGCCTTCTTTGTAGGGTTCCTGAATTCACAAGTGGCTACTCCTTTAATTAACAAATGATGGGTTTTTTGAGAGTATGCGTAGCTCCTACTTATGCTATCAGAAACCTTGCTGGCTGCTGGCATTTGTTTCTTCCAAAGTAGCTCGAAAGCATTATTAATGCTCTGTAGGACTTTTTCATTGAACATAAAAGAGGATAACAGGTTAGCAATTAAAACCTGTCTCTGAACGACAGTCTTAGTGGAGGGTTGCTTCGTCCTGTCCAGCCATCGGAGCCCCAAGGTAGCCTGTGCAATGTGTTCCTTCTTGTGGAAAAAAGCACCGGTGATTTCTATCTCCTCCTTGCACAAGGAACAGGGAAATGTGATCCCTGGTTGGAAGTCCTGGGGCTCGTTATAATCTGCACTGTGTTCTGACGGGCTTGACTGTTTCTTTGGAAAACTCTCTTTTTTAAGTACAGGTGAAATATCTTCGTCTGAATCAAAGGTTGATTTCTTCCTGTCCCATTCTCTTGACTTCCCAAACACTCTGTAAACAAAGTGAAGGATACTGATTATCAGGAATGAATGATACAGTGAAAATCTCAATCTTGTCTTTGCAATTTACTTCGGCTCTTCACAATTTCAGAAAGGCCTAGAGGGCCGGGGGATTAGCTCAGGGGCAAAAGTGCCTGCCTGGCAAGTGCAAGGTCATGAGTTCAATCCCTGGTACCAAAAAACACAAAAACAAAAATAAAAAAGGTGGGGAGCTGGGTATTTAGCTCAGCAGCATAAATCTTTGCCTTGCAAATGTGCGGTTGTGAGTTCAATCCCCAGTACCGGTACCGACAAAAAAGTAAAAAAAAGAAAGTCCTAGAGCCAGGCCTGGTGACACATGCCTATATTCCCGGCACTCAAAGCTGAGGCATCACTATTAGTTTGAGGCCTGCCTGGACTACATTAGCAAATACAAGGCCAAAAATAAAATAAAATTAAAAATTAAAAATGCTACATAACAAGATACAGCCTATGCTACATAACAAGATCCTGTCTCAAAAAAAGAAAACAAACTGGGCATGGTGGCTCACACCTGTAATCCCAGTACTTGGGAGGCTGAAGCAGGAGGATTGTTGCTTCCTGCCTCAGTTTGAGACCAACCTACGCTACAAAGTGAGCTCAAAGCCAGCCTGAACTGCATGGAGAGACCCTGTGTCAAAAAAAAAAAAAGCCTAGAATTGGACATTCTGATACTGTGACTTCCCCAAAGCACATGGTCAATTCTCAATAAATTAGTGATTAGCCTCCATGCCTCAAGAGGAAATTAGGTAAAATATTCACAAACTCAGCTAGCCACCTAAACAAATTTTATCACAGAAGGTGTGTTTCAAATCTGTCAGTTTCATGTGAACATCATTATGTTTGCATTCCATTTTATCTGGCTTAAATCAATTTTATCTATATGAAATTGCTCATCAGAAAATAAATGTGCCATGTTAGAACTCAAAAGAAAATTGAGGGGCTGGGGATTTAGCTCAGCAGCATAAGCGCCTGCCTTGCAAGCAGGCAGTCGTGAGTTCGATCCCTGGTACCGATAAAAAACGAAAAAGACCAAAAAAAAAAAAAAAAAAAGAAAAGAAAATTGAAATATGACGGACCGGCAATTTAGCAGGCAGCATAAGCATCTGCCTGGCAAGCTCCAGGTCATGAGTTTGATCCCTGGTACCAAAAAAAAGAAAAAAATTGACATCTGTTACCCAACAGAAACTTTTTTTTTTCTGGTGTAAACTCACGACTCTGCACTTGCCAGACAGTTGCTGTGCCACTGAGCTGCATCCTAAACCCCTCAAACAAAAACTTTTTTAAATACCTTAACGCACTCGACACGTTCATGTCCCTTTGGCAACACTAACTGTTCCTGCTGTCTCTGTACACCCACTGGTCCTTCCTTCACCCTGTTGGTGGTGGGTGTAGAAGCAGAGGTGGCAGGCGGCTGTGGGGGCTCCCTGGCTTAATGTCAGAGCCTCCTGTGTGGAACGTCTGCCAGCCTTGCCTGGAACCTGGGGCTTGACTCGCTTTGTGATTCAGAACCGTGAGACAATGGGTCACCAAGTGCACTCACAAACCTGTCTTTGGAAATTCCAAAGTAGCAGTCCTCTGACTATGTAAGAAGATCAAGATGTAAGAAGAGTGATCTCCAGCAAACTGATCTTTTTCCTACTAATTTGTGACACCTTAAAAATAGTGATTCCAAATTAGGTGTGGTGATGCAGGCCTGTAATTCCAGCACTTGAGAGGATCACCAGGAGTTGGAGGCCAGCCTGAACTACATAATGAAACCCTGTATCAAAAAGGCAGAAGAAGAAAAAAGTGATTCCCAGGAAGTATTCTTACTGGACAGATCAGTTGCCCTTCATCCAAGTGTTGCACACCTCAAGCCAGCTCTCCAGGCTTTCCCTTCTGCTGCCGAGTCGTGGCAGTCTACTGTACCCTACTGCCCGGGAGCTATAGGTCTTGATTGGGCTGTTTATTTATGTATTTACTTTTGTGATAGCAAGGGTTGAACCCATTGAGCTACATCCTAGACCTTTTTTTCTTTTAGACATTATCCCCCTAAACTGCCCAGGCTGGACTCAAAGTCACTGTCCTCCTGCCTCTGCATAGTTGAGATGATGAGCATGGGCCACCATGCCTGGCACATCATTTGATAGTTGAAGGCCCTCCCCTCATTCCTGGTAAGTATCTTTAGTCCCTCAGTCTTTGGTGTGTAGCTGTATGCTCCTCTCTCACAGCTTGGTGCATACTGAAGAAATCTGCACAGGTCAACTGTACCAAGTACCTTGTGGGAAAGTATCACAGTCAACTCAAAGTCAGAGCATTCAAAAGGGAACCCACTGCCTTTCCTCCAGAACAGTCTCCCAGCACCAAGGTGGTTAGTGTTGTAACCTAGTTCTAACCAGTGCGCCTCCTTCATGTTCTGTATGCACCATTTCAATAGAGATTAAAATTCCATTTCCAGTAAAGACTTAAGTTTCAGCTCCTTGTAAATCCCCCGCGGTCCCCTCCCTTCAGCCTATCTATAATACAATGTGCTGTCCTTAAGAAACATTTAACTACAAGGAAATTACAGGAGATACCAAGAAGCCCAGATGCTATCAAACTGGGTCAAAGTTCGCAACATTCCCGTGGTTTTTGGCTTTAAAACCCAACCCATTTAGCCGTAAGGTATACAGTCTTCCATATTGGCTCCTGGAGGCTGTGTTGCCAGGCCTGGCCTAAAATAAAGCCTTTGCTCCCTAAATTTTAATTTCTTGCTTCCTTGGGTTTTATTCCAGGGTCCGAGCTATCACATTTGGGGGGCTCATCCGGGATGGAAGCAAGATCTCCAACTCAATTCTGAACACCTAAAAGTAAGTACTCTGGGGGATTAATCAGACCACGGTCAGTTCGCACTTTGGGAGGGGACACCCTCAATTTGGGGAGTGAGGACTTCCTGAGGACAGTCAGTTGGGTTTTTTGGGACAAATCTCGTCCATTTTTGACTCTGCCCCATGAGGGGATCCACTCCCATTGGTTAATTTGTTAATTCCTCCAGATCCCAAAATTTGACCAATTCCAAAATTTGGCCAATTTTTGAGCAAAGGCCATTTTTTGCTGCAGCTTGTCTTGTCTTGTATGTCTGTCTGTGTGTCCATTTGTTCTAATTGTTCTCCTTTTGGTTACCCCAAATCTAACAGAACATTCTCTCCTAGGAACCCCTTCTACTAGCCCAAAACAGACAAAGAAATTTAGATATTTATGTTCAGTGTTTTTGTGCTTTAGAATTGTCTGCCTGTTTGAATTTGTTACTAACTTAGGGGCTCACTGCCCATTTCTGTTGTAGGATCCATATGGCTTATTAGACTCAAGGTTCATAATAAAAAAATTATTTCCTTTAGCTCACCAAACTGTGCATGGTGTGTCTTTTATGTTGTGGCGCCTTGTTTAATGTTTTAGTCCTCAATTGATTACTTGCAACCTCAGCATGCCTTTTAAAAAGAGTATTTTTCTTTCTGGTTAAAATGTAAAACATATGTGCATATATATATGTATATTTATGGTTTTTAAGAATCATATTAACTTTACCAAGTAAAATCCAGGTCATACTGTAATTGAGCCAGTTAAAAGGTTACAGTTTTTTAAAATACAGCATTTTAATGTGGTAAAAAGACATAAAATGATTAAATATGTTTGACTACTAAAAGGTCACCTCAAGGATTTTGTTAAAGGTTTTAATGTTGTCTAAAAAGCAAGAGAAAAAGGTAATTGACTAATAATAAGTCTAGAAAAGGGTGGTTTTGTCTTAAAATAAAAATGTAAAAGAAAAAATGCTTTTTGTGGCATGGCTATTGTTGGGAGCTTTTAAGCAGCTTTGTGTTGCAAATCAAGAGCAAAGAGGCCAACAGGATAATTTACGATACTGTGAGTTTGGGGGACGGGAATTTCCAGAAATGTTATAGATTGTAAAAACAGAGTTGAGGTTTTGATTGTAAAAAACAATTCATCTTGTAGTAAAAAAAAGGCCGATCTAAATTTAAAAGAACTATTGTGCTAATGTGGTGATTATAGAAATAAAATACAAGTTCTTGCATGTGCTGTAGACATCTCGGAGATTATGTGGCACAATTAATTTTGTTACCCATGAAAAAGCTGTTTTTGTTAAGTATATAATTTCAGTAAAACGATGGCCTGCCACGTGGCACCCTGGGACAAAAAGCTGTATGCCATCATGAAGCCTGCTCTCTGATCCAGAATGCCAAACCATGTTTTCCTTTTGTCCCACCCCGATTGGACAACCACAGGTAAGGAGATCCCCCCCCCCCCCCCGCAGTATCGCCAGTTGTTCTCTTTGCAACTCAGTCAGCCCCACATGTTAGACAAAAATTGCAAAGGTTTGAGAGGTTTGAGAAAATGCCCCTCAGCCAGTTAATAGAGATAGCACAAAAGGTCTTTGAGAACTGAGAGAATTTACAAGAAGCTACCAACAAGAAGATAACCAAGGTGTTAGAATTGCTCTATGAGAGAGAATTTAAAAAAAAACAAGTGTGAGAGTTTCTGGGGGCAGTTGGATACTGTATGAAAGGTTTTGGCCCAGACAGGACACTGTAGCCAGGAAAGCCACAACCGGAAGCAGGAAGCCCCATCTTGCCCTGCCCCTAGGAAGTTACCTGTGACGCCATCTTCCCGCCCCTGGGAATTTACATCTGGTGCCAAACCTAGGACCAATGGGCTACCTGTGTATCCCTAATGCCCGCCTTAGGTTCCACCCCAAACCGAGGCTATTTACAGGCCCCCATGCCACGTGTCCGCTGGAGAGATCGCCGGACGCCAGCGGTGGGGTGCTGGTCATCTCTCTCCGTGTTCTCAGAATAAAGGCCGCTTTTTATTTTATATTTCTCATCTTTTGTTAATATTTTTCATCTTTTGGAAATAATTCTATCACTGTAGGCTATAGATTCTAAATTTTACTGAAAAGCTAGCCCCCTATATGACTCCCTTAAGGGAGAAACTCAAAATACACTGAACTGGACTGATAAATGTGAACAGGCCTTCCAGCAGCTCAGGTGGGCTTGACAGAGGCCCCAGCCCTGGGACTCCCTGATGTTACCAAGCCATTCACCTTGTTCATAGATAAACTCAGGGGCATTGCCAAAGGAGTCCTAACCCAGGACATTGGCCCTTGGAAGAGGCCTATAGCCTACCTCTCCTAAAGACTTGATCTAGTGACAGGAGGATCGCCCCCCTGCCTGAGAATGCTAGCTGCTGTGGCAATGTTACTTAAAGAGGCTAAAAAAACTTACTTATGGACAGAAGATTTCTGTGGTGACCTCCCACAGTTTAGAGACACTTATCAAAACCCCTCCTGAAAAATGGCTTTCAAACACTAGAATTTTACACTATCAGGCCCTGCACTTAGACCCAGAGTTGGTAGTTTTCAAGACTTCTTCAGCTTTAAACCCAGCCACCCTTATGCTTGACGACAACCCAGAGGAACAAAGGACACCTCTCCATGAGTGTGCTGACATCCTACAGGTTGATCTTAAGAACCAGCCTTTGGGAAATGCCAACACCTATTTCACCGATGGAAGCAGATTCATCCAGAAGGGCAAACGAGTGGCCAGGACAGCAGGGACCACCAAAAAGGAGGTACTCTGGGTTAAGTGGTTAGAGCCTGGCACCTCTGCCCAAAAGGCAGAGCTCATTGCTTTGACTGAGGTGCTAAAACTAGCCACGGGAAAGAGGGTAAACATCTATACTGACAGTAGATATGCTTTTGCTACTGTACATGTACATGGAGCCATCTATCAGGAGCAAGGTCTCTTAAACTCGCCTGGGACTAGGATAAAAAAAATGCTCCACAGATCCTAGACTTGCTGGCAGCAGTCTGGCTGCCTCAGCAGGTTACTGTTATTCACCCTAGGAAACAATTTGGCAGATCAGGCCACTCGAAAAATAGCCACTACATCAGAGGGGCCAACCTAGGAGGTAATTGTTCTGATGTTGGTTCCTCCCACTTTATCAGAACTGGTCTATGTAGAGAAGGACCTGCAGTTAGCATTTCAACTTGGATCGAAGTCCCCCACCCCAGGGGGCTGGTACCAGTTACCTGATAAACGAGTACTGTTACCTGAGGCACTAGCGTGGGAGCTGTTTCACCAGGCTCACCAAACTACCCATTTAGGGAGAACTAAACTTGCTGAATTGTTCAGAATGCAGTTTTTTATTCCAAAACTCTCCAAACTGACCGCTTCTTTGAGCTCCAAATGCCCACAGTGCTTGTTAGTCAACTTAGCCAAGAGCTCTATGCTAGAGACCACCCAACATTGAGGAATTGTTCCAGGAGAACATTGGGAAGTAGACTTCATGGACATGGTAAAGCCTGGCTTACAGGGGCACTGCTCTCTCTTGGTATTAGTAGACACCTTCACTGGCTGGGTAGAGGCTTTCCCTACTTGCTTCCTTGGGTTTTATTCCGGGGTCCGAGCTATCACAGGTGTGAAAGTGTGTTTCCAGAACCCC